ATATATATATATATATATATATATATATATATATATATATATATATATATATATATATATATATATATATATATATATGTATGCATGTATATGCATGTGAGTGTGCATGTCGCGCTACTGTGCATTTATAACAGCAAAAATTGTGACCTTGAGCTGGAGGGAGGAAGCGTTGTTGTAAACGATGCTATGGACGTTGCGAATAGCACCAAGACCCCAATGATCTAAATAGCTTTTACATTGTGAGAGCTACTCTATAAGCTTATCTCTCGGAACCTTTTCAATATCTGTACATGACCGCGAAGTGAAAGAATATCAATAAGTTTGCTGTGAGACAGTTAGTAATCAAGAATTCATTAGCAAGAAATTTGTTAGTACTTCGTTGGATTATTGCATCTATTTTTGGGAAATTATTAATATTTGTTTCAAGGTTTATATTTTACATATGGCTCCAGCAACATTTCATTTTTGGTGATATCGTTCTTGACGAGATACAAAATAAGGTAATAATCAAACTACAGCAACTTTTACTGAGTTAAAAATTCAAATGAGGAATTATAATAGTTCTTAAATAAAGAATTCTTCCGCTGGCAGATGAAGAAATTGAAGGAATTCCAGAAGTTCAAGCAATTATTGCGTTATCAAAATTAGTCTAGTAGATTTCATTGAATGTATGGGACCTACCTTAATAAGTTTATTACAACCTTGACACGAAACAGCATTAACTTTATTCAAGATATTGAAATAATTTCACTTTCTTACTGCCTGCCTGAAAACTAGTCCCAATAAATTTAATGGCTGTTACACACGAATTTCATCAGGCTTACGGTTTTGTTTATTTACAATTTGTTGGGATGGTCACTTAAATTCAATATACCTATTTCTGATTTCATTTTTCCAATGAGCTGGTAATTTAACCACAGCGAATTTGCTATCAATTTCTTACAGATACCTTAATTCGAAAAAAAAAGACAATGTTCTATGAGTTGTCTATCTAGAATTAATCAGGACAAAGATATAGAAATGACTAAAAGTGAATTCATATCAACAGGTAATAAGTTGCGTACGATTAGCTGTGGGAATCAACTGTGGAGTTATTTGTGTCGACAGATCTTCCCATAATGAGATAGACTGAAAGGGTAGAAGATTTTCTGTGACAGAGGAAGTGATGAAAGCAGTTGAGAGTTGAGCATGAAGCAATAACAATCTTTTCTTTGGTGCTGTTGGACGCCTATGTGCGCTGCGTACTGTCAGATAAGCAAGCAGAAGTGGGGTGTAGCAGGCGGTAGGGGGTAGAGAGGAGGGAAGAGAGGTTGACATTGCCAGTAGGGACACTACAAAGGCTTCAATTTTCAGGGACGACGGTGAACAAGGGCGACAAAGTGAACCGTTGCTGCTACTTTTGCCGAGAGAGCTATGCCTACTTACCAGCAACAGTAACGTAACAACCTTACTGTAACCAATCAGTGCATGTAAAGCTTATTTCAAAAACGAATTGCTGTCCTTATTGCAGTTTGATTAAATTATATCTTCCCTGCTCTGTTTCATTCCCGTTAGTATATTTTCATCACATAGAGTGAAGTAAGTGAAGCAACGGTTAAGATAGTCATTGATAGGAAATGAAAGTAACAATGTAGTCGTGTGCATTATCAAATATACTTCGATAGAATAAAGACAGTAGAATAGTGGAGTCAACGGAATATTGTGGGAAGCAGTGCCGTGGAAGCATATCATTGACTAAAGTGAGCAGCGTGATCGCTTATGAGTTTGGCATCCTGGAGTAGGCTGATTTTTTATCTCGTGAAAACCTCTAGTAATCTATGTGTTTCAGTGTTAACATCACTCAGGGCCTTGTACTTGGAGACTATGGAGTGTAACATTCTAGCTACTAATAAAAAATGATAAACAGGCAAGTACTGTGGAAATGCGCTGATTTTATGATATACGATAAAGTATTTGGTATACCACTTGGAACACTAGAGGGAAATTATTAATGCTGGTACCGTGTCAGATATTGCTTATAAATGTAATCAATCATCTTCTTAAGTATCGTTTTTCAAACAAATAGTAAAATACAAAGTTGAATTGAAGGAGGAGAGGGGAAGCTAATGCATACTTCTGTCAATTATCCAGACTTTCGAGAATTAGGTTATGACTATAAGTAATCGATTTCTGAAAAGATTATAAGCGGTTTATGGAATTGTTGAGTAGTCACATGATTACATTAACTGACATCCAGTATTCTCTCCTTGTTCAGTATGCAAATGTTTATGAAACAAATGTTTAGCATGAATGATCTATTTAGCTGCTCATCATCGGCCAACTTCATCTCGTGCAAGCAATACTACATCGATATTTCCATTGTTGCGTATAAATATACCCGACAGTTTTCTTTTTTAATTATATTTCTCACACCTTAATCGGCACTAAAATAACTCTAGAAGCCTTCCATGCGGATACAAACACGGATATCGTCAAAGTGGTGGCATTCTTGAAGAGCAGGAATGAAAGAGAATGGTCAGAGATTTCTAGCTTGAAAAATAGTTTCCAGCTAGATTTTTGGAAGATTAAATTTTGTAACAACATTAGCATTTAAATTGAGAGCAAATCTTCAAGGTTTCCAAAAATATTTTGGATTCCAGCTTCACTAAATTTTAATATGAGTATTTGATGACTTCAATCTTGCCTCGATTCAACTTTCGAAAGTTCTAATTATTTAATTAACAGAAATTAATATTATTTAAGAATAAGTTACTGATCATTATATGCAATGATCTGAAATGATATTGCTCCATGCTGTCTTTACTGCCATAAACAACTTAATTTATCAGTTCTACCAGAAAAGGATTTTCATCCATCGTTATAGCGATTAGATTAAAAGATAGAATATGAAAAATGGAATGCGGTACGGATTTCATCTACTGCAACTTTATCGATATTTTCTATTTTGTTTCATAACTCAGTTGAAATGAATTCTTCATGTGCTTTAGTTCTTAATTGAAAACATTTCAACTTCAGCAATAGTTTCCCTTCCAGATCTTTTCAGTATCATATATGCTGAAGATGATGGTTCAGAAGTTTTAAAGAGTTAACCAACTGATCATTAGCTCGGTTTCTTTTCCAAAAACAGTAGCTGGTGTTTAAAAAGGAAAAAAGTTAGGGATAATTATAATTGCTATCAGAGTTGATGAGAAGGTTTAATAGTGTCTTGCATGAAACATGGATACGAAAAGCTGCCGCATCTTGGAAAGTGACGAGGACATTTGTCTCATTGCTATCTGCGGATATTGATGGCAGTGGTATGCTTGATACATTGTAATAGTACCACGACAAGGGAAAAAGGGATAGTTAACTGCGTGACAAGCTGACATGAATGAGGCAAGGAACAGGGCTATAGCATCCATTCTAAAGGAGACACTTATTGGTGTGTTTGCCTGTCCCCTCCTCCCTCTTACACCGGCACCGACATACCGAGAACGACACCAATGGATAACAAGGACGTGCAGGCTAAAGGTGGTGAATTGTGATAACATTCGACACAGCCATACAAAGAAAAAGGGAAATGGCAGAGATGCAGGAAGAGACATCTTCAATCAAGAGGTTTTTGATAACAGGAGCTGAAAATAGTGAAAGGAACCGGGAGTGTCAGAAGCTGGAGGGGTAACTGGAAATATGCAGATGCAGAGAGGCAGTAGTTACGTTGAGTAAAGTCTGTCAGGGAGGATGACAGGATGCGACAAAGGGCAGGAATGTCACTGTGAGCAGATCTGTCTCTCCTTTCCTTCACGTGCTAATTCCTTTTGGCTTGTATTGCAAATCACTACGCATTATTGCCGACTTACGGTAAAGTAAACATCATTAGAAGCTTGCTTAGGAAAAGCTACAGTATCCACTCTTCAAAAGTCATCGTATTGCTGGTTATTTTCCCTTTTGCCCCCAAACTATCTCTATCTTTACCAAGCCTTTCTTGACAATATTGGATTCCAAGAATATATAATGCAATTGCATTGCATTAGCACAATCCATTCAAAATTATGAAACAAAATAAAGAAAAAAAGAAGCATAAAGAGCGTGCGCTGATCATATACCGCCATCATTCATTCCATTGAACACACTTCTGCTTCCGTCACGTCTTTTTTTTTCTATACTTTCACTCCTCACATCATGTACTAGATTTCAATGTGAAATTCAACTTTTTTGATGAACAATGTTTGTCGGCTAATAAGAGATTTAATCTGATTCATTGTGCCACATTTTTTATTTTCTGAGCAGAGATGATATGATATAATATGCGCCATCTGCATCGTTTTCTTTAACTTTAACTTAGTGTTTTTTATTAT